ATGTAGAGCCGGAACTGCGTCATGGTTGGGTGGTTCGTCTTGCTTGGGGACACCGATCGCCCCTTGATGAATTTTCTCACCCATGCCACGTATTTCTTGTCTCCTTCGTACGCCTGCTTGAAGGTCATGAGTGCACCCGCCTTCTGGTACTTGCCCACGTTGAAGATCCTCTGGCCCAAGTACCCGTCGATTCCTGGCACCAACGGCGTCTCTGTCGTCGTCGCTGTGATCTGGTGCCTCGTCGAGGATCTTCGCATCGATGTCCGACATCTGGTCCTCCGTGGTTGCATTGGCTGTCACCTCGGACATCAGATCCTCGATCAACGCTGAGCGGGCAATGCCTGCCATGGGAATATCCATGTCGGCTGCACCCGTGTAGCTCATGTCGTTCTGGCTCCTTTTGAACCTCGATGACACTACCGCTCTGTGCTTGGGCAGAAAACTCGGCGGTGTTCACCTCATGCGTCTTCACTCCCACATTCGTTGGCACATCCCCCTTGCTTTTGCATTGTTCCAAGCCCTCGAAGAGTGGCAACGCATAGTGACCACGTTCGGTTTCCCGAAGCTTCGCACTCACCCCGTAGCGGCCAATCTCTATCCTATCGTTCCCCATATCTAATTTCACTTGCAACTTACGCAAAAGTTCCTTGGAAAGAAGAAGTGGCGTCTCGGAACCTGCTCCAGGCAACACAGCAGCTCTTATCGCTAACTGCTTGCCACCTAGACACACTGGAATCAGGGCTGAAACCTTTGTTTTCAAAGTACCCGAGTTGCCAAAACGAAACTCATGATTCTCCCTAATGAATCGAACTCTCAGCCCCAACTGTCTCAAAGCCTCTGACATGCGCTGCAGAACGGACTCACCCACTAAAGTCCTCCTACAAGCCGTGTCAGGAACCCCATGCTCGGCAAGATCAGCGCAATCCGTCATGTATGCCTCATGAGAGCGCTCGTCCTTGCAAAACTCCGAGCTGTGTAAAAACTCTGACAAACTACGCTCAAAGTCCCCCCTCACTTCACCTCCTTGGTCGACCGCTTCCTCGCGATCGGCGAGAATCACTTCCACACCGCCTTCCTTTTCTGCCAGAAAGATTTCAAACCTCTCCAGCTCATCAACGTCCAAGAAGTGTTCCTCTTCGATGCTCTTGTAGTGACCACCATCCTCGTCAGCCACCATTGCCTCGTTGGAGCCACTGGGCCTTTGCTGCCTCGCTGCACCAGGAGCTTGTCCTCGCCGCGGGCATTCACGTTTCCAGTGACCACGCTCGTGACACAAGTGACACTTTGTCTTGCTCTTCAGCATCTCCAGCTTGCCTTTGACAGTACCACTCAGCTTCCACTGCTGACTCGCATCAGGCTTATATCCACGACCCAACTTCTTCTGTTGCAGTCTTTTCCGCACTTCCTTGTAGGTCTCAAAAACGTCAACGGCATCTTCATCATCGTACTCCTCGGAGGACTGAACCTGGTCAGCCACAGCCTGAAACACGTCTTCTATAAGCTCCTCACCATCGACTTCAGCGACCTCATTCGTCGCCTCGTAGACCTCTTTTGTCCGCGCTTGACTTGCCTTGGCGATACCCTGCGGATAAATAGCCTGGATAGCCTTGATCACATCGGGATGCTTGAGTGACCCCTTGGTGTGTGTCATCAGCATAGCCTCTGATGCTGCATCCAGCTGAAGTTTTCTCAAAACAAACCACCCTCGGACCTCGGTTGGCAGCTCCACACTGTGTTCTTGAAGTCGCCGATACGCAGAATCCAGCCTCACAATCATGTTCCTGTAGCTTTCACCAGGCTTGATTTGCAAACCATAGAAGTACTCTTGCAGGTGATTATGTAAGGCTTCCTTCTGAAGTTCTTTGTAACGCTCGTCCAAAGCCTCCAGAATCAACGTATGCCCACCGTCCTTGGTGATCTTGTCCAGCGGCAGTGCTTCACAGACTTCCTCTGCTTCACCACCAACATACTCCAGCAACTTTGCTCCCCATCTGTCCTTCGTGTACGTGTTGGGAAGCGCAAGCAGCATTAGCTCAGCTTTTCGACGCCAGCGTCTGTACGTAGACGGCTGGCTCCCGTCGAACCGCTCCAGCCTCGGCCGCTCCTCATCTTTCCCCGGACCGCTCATTTCACAGGCACACTAGAAAGCGGATGTCGTGCGCACGGCTGCCTCCTGAATGTATCAGTGGCAAGACCAGTGCTCCGCTACCACCTGAGATATCAAGTACCCCAGGTGGC